GCAGGAGTACTTTACTTCTAAGTGCTTTCAGGAAATACCACAGAGATGGTAATAAAGAATTGCTAAAGTGTGTGAGATGTTCCTAAGTTGCTTTCGAGACCTGGAGTTATGTAAATGGTTTGTTTTCCCATTTATTTGCCCAGGTGATCGAATGGGTTTTGGAGAAGACTGTCATGTAGAGGTGGATGCTATTCACACCTTCCTAAGGGACTGTGGAGACAGAGCACATCCAGCTGTGAGGAAACCACTGCACTGCCTGAGGCACAAACACATCTGCAGCTGGAAGGACTTTGCTCAGTGTAATTATATAGACTCAAGTCTTCAAGCACAGCAGCAAAGCTTGAAGCTTTTTATACTGAAAGTTTAAATTGTTTTTTAAATGGAAAAATTTGTTATTTTATCTGCATATTTATTGTTTGCTAAAAGGACTATAGCTTGACTTGGTTTGATAAAGCTTGGCATGTTTTTCAAGCAGTATATTTGTCTTTTTATGTGAATAAAACCCCAACAGATCTAGTTTTGATAACAAAACTACTTTGTTTCACCTTTTTGCGTGAAGATCTCTATTCTGTTTTTTACAATGGTTTACAGCATTGGCCATTAACATTTTATACACTAATTAAGAACAGTTCCTCTTCTGCTGGTGAAAGCAAATATGACTAGAATTTGAGTCACAGTTATCTCTGTGTTGTAGTATAAGAGGAAAAAGAAAGGAATTTCTTTTGAAACCTGATGCAAGGTCCCATTAAAGAAAGGATCATTGTTTTATAAGCTGCATTTCTGGTATTATTTCCTGCATGCTCTTCATAACACTCCTTAGCAAAAAATCTTAACTGAGATTTCTTTTCATGGAGGAGCAGAAAATCAAAGCGATAGTGCTAGTGATGATGGTGAGAGCTGGGGAGGAGCTGACATGGTATGTGGAAATGTAAAAGAAAGAAAAATTTTTACCTGTGTTGCAAGTACAGTAAAATACTAAATTTGGCCTCAGTTTGCTTAAGTCTCAGGCATGTATCTGGCTTGCACTAATGTAATTATTCAGGTTAGTATTATGTTCAGATGAGGAGTTGCCTACGAAAACAAACATATTTTACAGTTTTCAGTATAAGGATTTCCTATTCATCATGTAAACTAACATGATTAAAATTGATACAGATGCAGTGCTACTGTTTGCTATATTCTCCTGGCAGGAGAAAGATTAACTAATACAAATATAAATGAAATTTAATGTTATGAGAAAGTAATTGAACTAAACCATGTGGAGGTTATGCTGAATACTGTAAAATCTATGCGTTCTCTGAAGAACCTTCCTGATTTTGTGCCATTATTCTTTGCTCAATTCTACTGAGGTAAAGCTGAGCCCTAAGGAGGTTTTTTGTGTCTAACAGGATCTTGAGTTTAACTCTTCTGTTCCATTGTTCCCTTGTTTACTGTTCTCCTGAACTCTACAAGACCTTTTCTAGGTATGTGTAGACTTGGTTCAACTGCACTCCGAGCTGCAGTAGCAGAGCTCTGTAGCTGTCCTGCTGTGACAGTAGGCTCTAATGAGTACTGTGTGCATCCTGGCCCAGGACAAACATTACCTATGAGAAGGATTACATTTGTCTGCAGAATGCCACACATCCATAGTATCCTCTTTTTTACTGATTTGGTGAAATAGAAATACAATGAAGAGAGATATTTAAGTAATGATTTAGGAAGTGCATGCACTAAATTGCTCCAATGTATTGATTACTGTGTATGGCTCACATTTCTTTGCGCTCAGGACAGAATCCAAGAAATTAATCAAGACATTAATCTTCCTTAACATCCTATAGTGAATAAAGAAAGTCTCTACTTCAAAATAGAGAAAAGCTGTAAGTTATAGCCTTATCTCTTCAGCCTGAGTGCTGATACTTTTGCCCAAATAAGCCACTGAAAGTTGTGTTTCCTACTTAATTTGGGGGGGGGTTAATGTACTCATAATTTTGTCGTTAATAAGTTATGCATAAGTTGATCAGCAAAAGTACAGAAACTGTACATTTCATAAAACCCTTGAGGCTAGCTGCCATGAGCAAAGAAAATCCCTTCCAGGAAAATAATTAATACTCTTGAACTGGTTTTCTTCTGCTTCAAGTAGAACCCACCGGTTAATGTTTTAATTAATTCT